ATAGATAGATAGATAGATAGATAGATAGATAGATAGATAGATAGATAGATAGATAGATAGATAGATAGATGTCAAAGAACTCTTTCATTTCTTACTTTGAAATTATTTTCATTGGAAAGGGAAATGTTTAGGGAGAATTACAAAAAAAGGATAAAAATATTAAATCCCCAGACAAATCCATTAGTTTTAATACAATGCAATTTATTTTAATAAAATAAATCTAATCAAAATCTCAAAATTTCCTCTTCTTAAATTTATTACTCAAATTTCACCAGCATGTGTTTTAGATCCATTTCTCACTGGATTTTCAGCAGAGAAATTGGATCAATCACTACCATACTTTTATGCAACTCATATCCAAAGTCTGTATCAGTTCCCTTTTAGAATCTTAAAAAAGAGTATTTATGTTACATAAAAAATAAGGCAGATAAGCATTTTTTTAAAGTTAGCCAAAACCACAGTTCTGTAATAGCCTAATGAAGATTAATTATGCAACAACAAGATCTGAAATAAGAAGATTATCAAGGTTGGGCCATGTGGCTAAGTGGTCTGAGACCACTGAGAGTTATGGTTGCATTGCAGCATTTTTTTTTAAAGAAAATGCTATTATTGAGAATATGCATGGTTGAAGCTCCTCATTTTAGCTTATATGCATGTCTGTGTATATGTTCTTCTTTTCACTTTAATGAAAGACATTAACATAGGCATTACTATCTAAATTATTCCTTTCTTAGCATGATTTACCTTTCCAAAATTATCTAACTGCACTGCATCAACAGATGTGTCCCTTTTGGAATGTTATAGAATGAGACTAACTGGAAGAAGTGAAGGGTAGTTGAATGAACTCATAAGTAGGAAGATCAATGAAGAGCATGTATTGTTTGCATTTGATAAATGAAATTAAGAAGCAATGTAGGCAATTTTACATTTGTTTCATTCATTTAAACAAGATCTAATGAGTCTAAGCTAAAACCTTTAGCCAATTGACTTACTGGACTATAACAGCACTTTTGTCATTGTGATATGCTTGGCAAGTTTTTTCTGCACTAGGATGATCAACACGTCCTATTGGTGAAACTTTATGGGATAAAACACATTCATTTCTTTCTGGATCAGCCTTAGCACAACAGTCATCAATTCCATATTTGTGGGAAAATTCTTCATCATGGCAGAGTATATCCAGATAAACTTTACCCTAAAGAGCAAAAAAATATGGCTGTTAAATAAGCATTGCTTANTTTTTTCCCCCTTTTTTGAAGATGGGAACCACATCAGCTCTTTTCCAGTCTTCTGGTAGTTCCCCGGTGCTCCAGGATCTCTAATAGATATAGTTCAGTGGTTCTGATATCTCCTCTGCCAGTTCCTTCAGAACCCTGGGGTGTAATCCATCAGGTCCTGGTGATTTGAACTCATCTAATGTAGACAGGTGCTCACTTATCATTTTCTTCCCTATTTCAACTTATGTTCCTAATCTGATTTTTGTATTTTGTAAAATATTTGTATTGCATTTTGTAAAATATTTCTACTGTATTTTGTAAAATATTTTATACAATATTTGTGTTTGTGTAAATTTTCCTGAAGGTGCCTGTCTGCCTGCATGCCTGCCTGCCTGCCTTCCTTCCTTCCTTCCTTCCTTCCTTCCTTCCCTCCTTCCTTCCTTCCTTTCCGCCCTCCCTTCCTCCCTCCCTCCTTCCCTCCTCCATTATTAATGTAGGTTTCTTATTTGGGATCTTTTATTTATTTCAAAAAGTAAATAAATGGTATGTTAAAACTATTTTGGGAGACAGCAGCCTAGACAACTACCTCAGCCCATAGAAAGAGAAGGGGTGTGTGAAGCATGTCAGAAGGAGTCATCTGCAGTTTCCTTGAAAGTAAAAATAAAGGAGTGGAATAGTCCTCCACTGACAGTAGTCCTGTCAGACTGGTAAGATTCTATTATTTAAAAATAGAATTTGTAAGTTGCAAGTTTGTGCTTCTTATTTTAACTACCTAAAAGGGCTGATTATAGAAAAGTAATAATCTATTAAACATATGTGAGTCTTTCTCAAGTGGTCAAAAGACAAAATTGTTACTCCCAGACTAGGTTATTCATACTATTTTGACATGCCTTGAGTCTCTGGGTAAATAAATCCTGAATTATAAAAAACTGAATATAGTCACTGAAACTTTCTCTTATCAATTAAATGACTTCATTGCTTCTATCCTATTTTCCTTTTAAGATATTCCATGGATAAATGCTAAATTGGTTTAGCTATTATTATAGACACATTGTCTACTTATTTTCAGTTTTCAGTACCACAGTCTCTTCTGAATATCCTGGTTGTCAGCCCTTCCAGGTAAACCAAACAGCAAACATGACTAGATAAGCTAATTCTTCTTCATTATAAGGCTACATACAGAATTTTACAAGTCTGAAGGTACAAACTTTCTACCACTGCTTTTAATCTCTGATCAATTAGGTTGGGCCATTCTTAAACTCTTCCTCTGAATGTTAAGCTGTTGGGAATTCCCACTTCTCTCATCTGATTATTTCTAGGCAGCAATTATTTCCCCTTTCCCACAAGATCATCCATACAAACTATTACATTATTTAATTTGTTTCATATATAAATCATTTTAGTCATATTTGATACACATTCCTATGAGTTCATTTTGTACAACATTCCAAATAAAGTAGACTTACAATGCACGCAAATCATCTTTTCCATAATGCTTCAGATTAAAACAAGTATATTCCTGATCCTCAATTATTTCTCTGAATTTCTTTGTGGCTTCTGTTGCCTGTTACAAACCAAAAAAGAAAAGAAGAAAACATTTTTACTCAGTCTGAGAAGAGAGAGATAAGAAAATAATGATAACAAATAGAAATAGAATGACAAAATAATGTAAATGTAACAACTAGAGCAACATTTGAAAATCATTGACTTTGACAAATTACCCCCAGCCAATTGCAAAAGGCAGCCTTACTCAGAACAGATAACATCTTGCAACGATACCTCTAACACTAAAAAAAAATATATTCCACATCTGTGAACCCCAGATCCTTGGGAAAAAATTTAACAGGTAGCTAAAAATGCCAAATTCAATCTGAACCTCTGGCTGACTGTGCAACAAATCAAAACTTCAAATTACTAATTGGTGTGATAGCTGATGCAATCCAACAGCATTTAGTTGAAAAAAAATGTTCTTTGCCAATAAATAAGAATATTTGCAGTTCAACATCAAAATGAGGAGTCATTGGAGCTCTGGGCGTGGTTTTTTTCTTTCAGAAATTTAATTACCCAAAATAGGTAACATTGCTAGCTCTGATTATATTACCTAGTTTGGGTAATGAAACAACTATTGCAAGAAAACAGCCAAGAAAACCCCTCAAGCTCTTTGCATCTGAGCTGAAAGAAAACGGTCCAAATAGTAGAGGAGCAAAAGAGCAACTTCTAATTGACAAGATGATTCTGGAAAACTGCAAGAGAAGGAAGACCCACTTGAATGTAGCACAGACTCTCTACCACTAATTTGATAATCAAGTGCCATCAATAACTGGAGTTAGTGGAAACATCAGAGGTTTTGTGCAAAGATTCACAGAACAATGGGAGACATAGTTATAGGTCAATGGGGATAGACTGGGATAAGTTAATATCAAAAGAGAAATCTCACTTTCACTTGTATTGTTTGTCATTGCAATGATTTCTCTGTCAACAATATTGAATAACTCAGGTGGTGGTTATCAAACATCCAAAGCATATGCCAGGTTGTTCCACCTCCTTTTCATGGAAGATTTGTAGCTGTATGGAAAAACATCATCTGAAATAGAATTGCTCCTCAACACTGTCCATATATACAGCAAGATATTGCAGTTAAGTTTGGACTGGACCAAAGTCTCACCATCAGAGGTAGAAAAATAATGAAAACTGAAATTAAGATGCCCTACAAAAATAACATCAAGAGTCCACTGATCAAATGAATGGATGAAGATAATCTTACAAACTCCTGGCATTTTTCAAGCTGACAGCATCAAGCACATTGAACTCAAGAAAAATATTAGAAGTGGATACATCAAGAGAGTAAAGAAATTCTTAAAGTACAAATTCAGTGGAGGAAATAAAGATAGTTCTTGACTTACAACTGTTCATTAAGTGATATAGTATTGAAGTTACAACACTACACACAAAAATTGCTCATGACTGTTTTTCATACTTATGGCCATTGCAGCATATGGTCAAAATTCAGCTGCTTGGCAACTGACTCATATTTATAATGGTTGTAGTGATCATGTGATCACAGTTTACAAGCAAAATCAATGGAAAAGCCAGATTCACTTAACAACAATATTACTAACTTAATAATTGCAGTGATTCACTTAACAACAATGTCAAGAAAATTCATAAATGGGAGAAAGCTTACTTAACTGTTTCAGTTAGCAACAGAAATCTTGGCCTCAATTGTGGTCATAAGTTAAAGACCACATCTACACATCTGGAATAGTAGTCTGGACTCAAACAGGACAATAGTCCTGGATAGAAAGACCAGAAAAATAATGACAGTGAATCATGCTTATCATTCTTGTAGTGATGTTGACCAATTCTACTTACGAAAGAAAATAGGTGAGGGTTGAATGTTGTAAGTACATTGGATGGTTGAACAATAAAATAGAGAATTAGAAGTATATCTGAAGGCAATGAATAAGAAACACTGAAGTTACTATACTGGGAAGAGTTACTAAGTACTGGAAAGACTGAACTGGCTTACGAGGTGGGGTGGGGACATGACCAAATGAAGAATAGAAATGAAACATAGCAAAGCAAAATATTACATGTCCATTTTTTTTAGATCTTCAAGAATAGTAGGCAAAGCATATAGTTTAGAGTATATGCTTTGTGGCTAGGTGTGGAAAAATTGAAGAGATGGAAGGATTCATTGTGGCTACACAAAATCAAGCCTTTAGGAGAAACACATACATTTGTACACAAGTCAGAATTGAAAAGACAACAGCAGATAACAAATGCCATCCCCACAAGGAAGCTGAAGAAACCATGGACCACCTAATTAATTGTTGCAATAAGACTGATTATAAGCAATGATGTGACAAAGTAAAACAATGGTGCATTGGAAGATCTGCAAAAAATATCAATAGCAAGAACTGGTGGGGCTATAAAATAGATGAAGTAATAGAACATGGAGAAACTAAATTGTTCTGGGAATTTAAAATTAGGCACCTGTTTTAACAATCAGACCTCTTTTAACAATCATTGATAAGAAAGACAAATATGTCCCAACAGTGCAGGCTGCAGTTCCTGGAGGCAACAGAATAAAAAAAAAAAGAACTGGAGAAAATAATGAAAAAAGACATGCAAATAAAAGTAGAATGACTGTGGGAAAATGTAGATATAATGTCAATGTTAATAGATGCTAAAAATTATTTCTACAAAATTTCAAGATGCAAAGTGAAATACCTTTTCATTGATACAAGCATCTTTATCAGTTGCTGCACAGCAAGTTTCCAGGATTTTGTCATAGTTTTGAGTTCCATGGAGGATTACAACAACTAGTGCTTTAGGATATCTTCTGGAGAGCTCATAAATATATCTATGAAAAGCAAAACATATATGTGGGCAAAACATGAATATGTGTGTGTGTGTGTGTTTGAGATAGAGGGAGAGGAGGAGGAGGAAAGAGAGGGGGATATAGATAGATAGATAGATAGATAGATAGAT